ACTTTTCTGATTTTTTTTTTAAGATTTTATTGGGGAGTTGGGGAAGGGAACAGTATTGGGGAATTGGGGAAGGGGAACATTGTGTTTTTCCAGGACCCATCAGCTCCAAGTCAAGTTGTTGTCCTTTAATCTTAGTTGTGGAGGGAGCAAGTTCAGCTCCAAGTCCAGTTGCTGCTTTCAATCTAGTTACGGAGGTTCGCATCCCATGTGGGAATCGAACCGGCAACCCTGTTGCTCAGAGCTCGTGCTCTAAACAATTAAGCCACCCAGCTGGCCCTTTTTCTGATATTTTAAAAATTATAAACATGCAGAAAATCTAAAAGAATTATTCTGTGAACACCCAAAAATCTACCACTGTAATTTACCTTTTGCTAGATTTGCTATATCACACACACACACACACACACACACACATATATATATATATATATATATATATATCCACTTATTTTTTTTTATTCATCCATCTGTCCATGTTAATTTTTATAAGAAATACATTGAACTACTTTGTCCAAGGGAGTGATTTTTAAAGAATAAGTAGTTTGAATGCTTTTTATTAAAACACTTTACGTTTTTTTTTGTTTGTTTGTTTTTTTTAGAAATGATTCTCTAGTGGTAGTTTAGGGGGAAAGTTGGAAGGTTTCAGGGAGATTAGAAGGCAGCTACATCAGTCTAAGCAAAAACTGATCAGTGCTTGAAGTGAAGCAGTAGAGATAAGAATTCCAATGAGGAGGCAGAGTTGAAAGAGATTGGAGATGTACAATTAGTAGAATTTTGTGACACACTCGAAGTGAGTTCTGGCTTGGCGTGTTAAGGTATAGTGACAGGTTTGAAGTTGAAAGGGTAAAAACATTGGGGAAAGTGTTAGAAAGCAAGTAGCTATGTTGAGTTCCAGAAGTGGGATACTGGGTAGGTATTTATATTCATGGGTCTACAGATCAACAGAGAGTCGACTGTGCAGATTTCTCTATCATCACCATCTCATTCATGGTGTCAGAGTCAGGGGTGTGCTTTCCTTGAGTTAGAAATTCAAGTAAATTTCATTCAACCACATTTTAAATATCATACTCCCCCCCCCAGGGGAGATTATACTGTATACATTAGTATTTCATGGCATGAACTATTCAGATTACTGAAACTGTTAATTTTTTTTCTTAGAAACAACTTTAAAATATATAACGGCTGTTTTGTACTTAAAAACGCATTAAACATGTTCAGTATATGCTTTATAAAGACTGATTTGTTTGTCGAATGATGACATCCATAGGTGTATTTTAAATGTTTCCCGTAATGGTCAGCTCATAGCATTAAGCCAAGGGCATAATCAAAATTTGGTTTAGTGTAGATTTTCACCAGCTGATCCTAGGCGAACTTGCAAGTAGGCTAATGCTGCTGAGTGCATTTCTATCTTCTTTCCCATATTGTTTGCTGACCTCCCATGGTACCTCACCTCAAAGATTCTTGGAGCTCTTTTTCAGAGTGTCACCCGTCAGGCATCTCTACACCACAACAGAAGAGCATGTGTACCAGGGATTAGCAGCAGTGCCAGCGTGCTCATTCTTTGGGATGCTTGTATGGGACAAAGAGAGTTGCATTGATACCTTGCTAGAACTTTGAGTTATAAAAACTTGTTTTTTTATTTTTATTTTCTGTCAAATCATACACTTGAGTGTGAATAATTAGTCTAATTCTTTAAATCCTCAAATCAGAAACCTTTGTAGGACAAACTTAAATATCTAGACTTTCCAAGGAATTTCACCGAAGCAGAAGAAATAAAGCATGTGTGTATTTAAGTGAAGATCAGAAAACAAGTGTTTGTATACTGTCAACAATTTTAGTGGACTGTTCTTATGAGCTAAAAAATAGGTCAGCAAGACTGAGATTGTATTATAAAACAATAGTACAATTATCACCTGAAGGAAATGACCCTATAATTGATTTATTAAAACAAAAACGGAGACTTTTTAGTGATTCATTCCTTAAACTGTTCCTTAGACTTTGATTATAATGCTAATTATATGGGATAGGTTAATTACATTTCTACTTTTTAAGCTGAAGACGTTTTCTCTTAGTTGCAATATTTTTATAATTGTAATTTTGTAAATCAGTAAGCTTTTTTAAAGTTATGTTTAGTGTAATCAGTTATTTAGTTGTGTACAAATTTTAATGAAAACTTATCAAAATATATTCTAAAATTAGTTGATCAATTCCTTTGTTACCTTATAACAAGTTGAGTTAGCATCACCTCTTTTATGAAATTGCAATGAGAGAAAGTGTCAGATATGGAAATCTGCTAAGCTCCTGGAAATATGTTTTGAGATAAGCATATATACATATGTTTGTAACAATAAAGTTAAAATTGGGTAATATTACTGTTATCTTGAATTTAAAGTCAATAATTGATCTGATGAAGAAATTCGCATTGTTAGAAATAGTCTTTGAAAAAACAGAAAGGTATAATACAGCCCTTTAATATACACAGTATTCAAAAGTATGAACAGTAGAGATGTAACTGTGCCTGCATGTAACAGAGCAGTGAAACAGAGCTTCTACTATATCACAAACAGTACATAATATTTTAATTTTCATGAGACTAGTAAAACATTTGTTACACTGTGGTTTTTAACAAGGAATAGTGTAAATGTCTCAGTTAAAAATATATTCTCAGCTTGGACAGGTGGTATTTAAGGAGTTTGGAGTGAGAAATGGCTTGGCAGTGTAACAAGGCATATTACAAGTGCCTACCTTGAAAGGCAAAAAAAAAAAAAAAAAGAAAGAAAGAAATAGACATTTTCCATTACTACCTACTGTTAAGGTGCTTGCATTATCCCCTAAACAACCTCGTGCCTGTGGCAGTAATCATGCACTGTCATTTTTTCGTATTAATGTGAAAGTGCAGTTCAATCTTTTTGACAAATATGGCATCGCTTCTGGCTGGGCAGAATTTTTGTCACTCAAACCCAGTTGATGTATAAGTAGGTTATGACATGCTGGCTGAAATGACTTTGGATGGACTGTATTGAGGAAGGTAAAGTTTTACTTAAGGGGTTATTTTTCTTTCCATTTCCCTTTCCTTCTCTCCCTCCCCTCCCCCACACTTCCCCCTCTTCAGATTCATCCTACTTCCTTGTTTCTTTATAAGCTATATCATTCTACCCAGGTAATGGTTTATAGAGAAACCGAGGGAAGCTTTCCTTGGAAGTGTGCAATTTGCTTCTTTGAGTTATTATTTTCTCAATTATGTGTGTGCATATGATAATGCACACCAGTGCACAATCTAAGGGATTTACAAATTTTTCATCTCTTATAAGGCAGCTTGTTTTCTAAAAAGGTCTATTCTAACCCTGTAGGGTTTTTATAACCCTAGCCCTTAAAGTCATTCATAATCTGTCAGCTTGTGTGAAATGTGAACATTCTTCTGCCTTTTCAGTTTTGTAATTTCTTTAGTTACAGGTTTTGTTCTCCTAAGGTGCCCTTTCAATCATGTGTGGTTTGGAAGTAGTTTTTTAAATTTTTTTCTTCTTTGGTTGTTACATCTATATTTCTCATGGAGTTGAAATGAAAGGTTTATTACATTATTACTTTAAAAGCTGACACATGAATTCTCCGTGCTAACTCCCAAAGTGGCACTCCTGAGAAAGAGGTCATTTCTTTGGTAACTTAATATGCCAGGTAAGATCTGTTTGTACTTTAAATAAAAAGCTATTGAGTTAGGAAATAGTATCTTTAGAAAATGCAGACTAAAATCAATAGTTTTTCTAACTCCCCAAATAAGATTATTAAGGAATTGCCCATGCTTTCAGTTTCTATCATTCTCTCCTAGTAGACTATGCTGAGTAAACATATAGAAATACAGATACTGATATAGATGTGGGTTCCTAGCAATTCAGTGTAGACATAGACACTGAAGATGAGGATCTCTTCCTCCTTGTTCATGTGTTTGTGGCCTGCAGGGAGTCTCGCCTTCCCAGGAACACTCAAGCTCCTACAGGCAACACTCTGGAGCTGCCTTCGTCCGCTTTTAGTAGTCGCGGCATTACCTTACTAATTATAGTTAACTTTGTATTATTCAAACTTAACACTTTAATTATGATATTTAAACTAATACTTCAAAAAATCTATTTGGCCTTTTAAAAAAATGTCAGTCTTATTCAATACATTTTGAGAAATAAAACAAAACAGATTGGAAAAACTCCTCTTATAACATGAAAATATTCATTAGGATTACAGCATTTATTTTTGTCACAGCTAATGTATTTTGTGTTTTAAGTCAAACGTAATTTTTTTTGGCTCTCATATATATTGTTCTGGAAAGTGCATGGCATTTGTTATAAAAATGTTTTCATGCATGATCTCAATTGTGATGTTTGTGTTAAAATAAGACACACATTTTTAAATTAACATGGTATATAGGTGTAGAAATTGGCAAGAAATTAAATGCTCAATATAAGGAAATGATTTTATAAATTACACCTTATCTATGTAAAATATTATATACCCATTAAAATGATATATACAGCCTTAATTTGTATATAGTATAATGTTAAGTGAGAAAATCAAGGTATGACAACATAAGAATAAAAATCAGATAATCATTTTATAGGTATTTTTCTTATTTTTTAACATTAATACAAATCATTTATAAAATTAAATACTTATTAAAGAAGAAAATTTACCAAGTACAAAGTAGAAAGAAGACATTAATCTTTAGTGATGGACACAATTTAACTAACTCAAGGTTAACTTAGACTGTCTGACTTTGGTCATCATATCTCTAAATTTGGGGTGATTATACTAACAAAAAGGGTCTATGTAGAGACTATGCTAATAATATTGCAGGTTAACATTGAAAACTTAGTTAAGGATACACACAAACACACATTTTTCTGTAAATAAGTATAATTGAGGGTTTTAGGATGTCATGTCCTTTAAACCATGCAATTAATTTAGGCTTGGGATGTTTTTATTTTGAGCAAAATCTTTTTTCCTTTTCATTTCAGTCAAAATACTTGAAAGAATGAAATAGGACTGTTACAGATTGGGAGATGTACAAGGCTTACTCCTAAGACTGTGCTTGTGTGAGAGAACATGTTTTCTGGCACTCACGGATCATTCAGCAGCGTTTTTATTCCGGTAACTTAGTTTGGAAGGCATTTCAACTTCTGAGTGCCGTTTTTTTATTTTCAGGTTGAAAACATATAACTTTGCTGTGATTTTAGAATGTTGTTTTTAAATTAGACCCTGAAAATTTTCAGAACTGAAAATATTTGGCCCTGGACTAGAACTGGTTAAATTTTTATTTAAAGGTAGGTTGTAAGTGACAGTAACTACATTGACAAATTTTTATTTAGTATTTAATTCAATACAATCCTAGGTCAGGTGCAGCAGGTAGAATCAGGTTCTAACCTGAATTTGGAGAAAGGCATATAAGTAGAAATAACATTACAAAAGTGAGTTTATCAGTTGTGGATGGCAATATTAACAGTACAGTATGTCATAATAGCAATCAAGTTTATTAAGTGCCTATTCTGCTTTTTAATTTTGACCTACTAAATACTTAAAAGTAGAGAATCTTAATATACTTGGGCAGCTTGGTGATGCAATTTTTCCAAAAATTATATAGGAATAATTTCTCTATAGGAAAGTTTGTTATAACCCACCCTGTGATATGACCCATTTACCTTTGGATAGTAGCCAAGTAATGTAAAACATAGTTTATTCGGGAAGGAAGAATACTATGGAAAACAAAGTAAAAAATATCAAAATATCTCAGATGAGAAAGACCCTAGAATTACAAATAGGAAAATAATTTTATATATGCTTTTTGTTCAGTTTAGAAGTGAATCATTACATTACCTTTTCATGTTAAATAGTAGTAATAAACTTTTTAAACTTATGGTATAGATTTAAATTTAAACTTGTATGTTTAAGATTTATTTCGTTTGTTGGAGTGCTTGCTGGCAAATAGCATATTTATGTAGTCTTTACTATTAAAATTAGATTATTTTTTTCCCTGGCTGTGTTTATATTTCTGTGCCATTTTGCTCTTCTGACCAACCAAATTTTAATAGTTTTGTGTTGTCATGATTTTTTTTTTTTAATATTTGTGTGTAGGGCATAGTATACATAGGCTATGTCTCAGTTAAAACACCAGGGTGATTCCAAAGATGTTTTTTGTTATCATTGTTTATTTTGGAGAAGTTGAATATTTTATCCTGAAATGGTTATACTTTATTTCTATTTGTTGCTTGATGTCATTGATTACACAAGTGAATTTAAGTACATTAAAAAGAATAAGTAGCCATCATTTTATTATTTATATAATTACATAAGAATATATGTGGTATTTACCTCCTTCATAATTTCAAGAATAATTTGAGATTGTTTACTAGAACATACAAAGTTGAACAGAAGAATATTATGTTGATATTATGGAGGGGAGAGGGACACTAGGGACAAAATGGATTAATTTCAGGGGTTATGGGAATATATAAACATCTATGTCATAGAATCTGGTGTTATAAGTGGAGATCATAGTTTTGAGTATTACTAATAAAAGTAAAATCAACAGTTTTTAATACATTAATTCAATTAATAGCTATGATGTATATTATTTATAATACAAGAACTAATGTTTCAATCACTTATAGCATTCTAAGAACTATGTTCAGTATTTGACACATGATTGTGTTATTTACCATTCAGTGACCCTGCAGTGTGGTGATATTGTTATATTTTGCATATGTGGTAAAGGAATCGCAGAGAAGTGTTTTGTCCAAGGTCACACTAACTATGGTTGAGCTTGGGTGTGAATCCAAATGCTTTTACTCCAAAATCAATAATCTTATCCGCAGAAGTCACAGTTTTTATAAGGTAAAATAAATCAGTTGCTTCAGAAAAATATACCTTGTCTTAATTCTAAGGATAAGAACAAAATATCTTCTGTGGGTCTCAGGCTTGATTCAAGGATAATATGGAGCCATCTAGAGAAATGCCTGTAATGCCTCTCCTTCAGGCAATCCTTGTGAATATCTCTTTGCTCTTTGTTGCTCCTAAATTATTTTGTCTTCAGGCTATGAGCAAATTGATTTTCTAAAAGCTGTGTCTCCTATGAACAGTTAATATTAAAGCCAATAGGAATAGTTGCTGGTTAGAATTTTAGTAACTTTGTCCTTATCAAGATCTGGAAGAAAAACTTTGAGGATCTAGAAATTCATGTATCATGCAGAATTTAAGTGTCCATGACATTTGATTTTTCTCTTTTACTTCTATTATAGTTTTAAATGTTGAAAGGAAGTATACAAGAAAAAAACAAAATCACCTTAAAATCCTACCATGCAGAAAAAATGATCATTAATTGTTGGTGAACTTCATTTCATAGAAGCACATCTGTTTCTGTGTGTGTGTGTGTGTGTGTGTGTGTGTGTGTCTGTGCATCTGTGCATGTGTGTAAAGAAGAAAATGAGAAAAGGTTAATGGTTGGATAAAATGATTTACAAGAAAAAAATAAAAAATATTACAAAATATATTCCATATGCACTAGTTTTTAACAATAAATACTTAATAACTTCATATAATGATAAAATAGGAAACTGAATAATAAAAATAAAATACGTAAAACTGAAATGACTGTCAGCTATGTAAAATTTTCCTGCCACAAGTGTTTCTTTCTTTCTTTTATTTCTCTTATTCCTTATTTCATTTAAGTTTTTTTGATGCCATGTGCCCAAAAGTCCTGGGGGTTTCATAGCAATTCTCAGCATAGCTTTGCTCACATAGATTTTAAGAAAGGAAAACTGTATTAAAATTGTAACATTCAATATATACTGATAACAAAAGATGAATACAAGTCAGATTTGACTTTTGCAATTACAAGAGGTGCTCAAAGGGGTTACCATCAGCGTCTAGACACTTCTGATTACTGCAAACTACTGCTTGAGCAACATTGACCAGTGTCTACTTGTATACATTTTTTTTGGCACCTCCAGTATATATAAGATAGATATATAGATAGAGATAGACATAGACATAGGTATCCATGTAAACATATGTAGAATTGCATCTGTGAGATTTGTATAAAAGAGTGTTATGTTTGTTATAATGTGGGAAAACTATTCAGTAAGATCAGTTATATTTTAAATATCACATGAATTAAGGAAATATATTATGAAATATTAAATATTAAGGGGTCAAGATGATTATTTTTTGAAATTCATTTTTTAACAACTTTTGATGGTCACTCTTTACCTTTTTCTATCAATGAATTATTATTAATTGGTAGAAAACAAAATTATAATGGTATTAGCACTATATTAGAAAATTTCTTATTTGACCCTGTGATGTTATATAATATTTGTCTTCCATATTGGAGCTATAATTATCACTGCTCTCTCATTCTAGCTATGAATTCTAATAACCAGTCATTTTACCATGATTTATCTACTCTTGTGTTCTGTATTTGACATATACCTTTTAACTGGATTTTTTTCTAGTAGATTTCTTCAGAGAATGTAGTGTTGCAAAGGTATTTTTTTAAGTGTATTAAATATGTAAGCAAATATATCAAATAACCTTATCTGCTTCTATTTCTGAATAAGTATCAGGTTTTACTTTGAAATAACTCTAAGAATAACTAATACC